AAGCATAAAGGCAGTACTTCTCCCTGCCCCCAACCGGGTTTGCCAGTGGTAGCACAGCATTGGAGGATGCCTTCTGTTTTCACTAACTTCATAGTTGTTTTTGGAATCTGTGATACGGTTTGGCCATTTCCAGTTACCTAGAAGATATGGTAAGGCTTTCCCAAAGGAACTTGGGCTCCTAGCTTCCAGCAGTTTGTTTCTTTGGTCGCTGTGATACTGTATCATAAAAGAATAGAGTTGGCAGGTACCTCAGGAGATCATTTAGTCTGGTTCTCTGCTAATGGTAGGGTCACCCCTGGCTAAACCATACCAGTCAAGTGTTTAAACTGCTCTTAAAAATTTAAAAGGATTGAGATTTTCTAACTCTCTGTGTAGCTTGTTGCAGTGAGAGAGTTCTTTCACGTCTCCAACATAAATTTCCCCTGCTGTGGTTGGAGACCATTGGCCATCTTTATATGGAGTACAAGAGGAGGGGGGTGCTTTAATTAGAGTGGCTTTTGGTGGGGCAGTGCTTTAATTAGAGTGGCTTATGGGAGTCATTCTAACTAAAGTGCCTATCTTTAATTAAAGCTTGTTCAAGCTTTAGCTAAAGCACCCCATCCACCGTTTTGAAGTGCAGAGACCCTGAATACACATGATGGCGGAGGCTGCTGAAGTGTGCTAGTTAGCATGTTCCAACAGACTTGATTAATAGTCTGCTCTCTCGCGTGTTAATTAGCACCCATCGGAGCAGGTTTCCAGCATGTGTATAGGTTCATTGCTCCTAGTCCTGTTCCCTGGGGCCACATAGAATAGTCTTATCCCCATTGTCTTTGTAATCACCCCTCAGGTATTTTTAGGTTATCAAATCCCACCCCAAGTCATCTCTTCTCTAGACTAAATAATGCTTGTTCTTTCAGCGTTTCTTAATAGGTTATGTTTTCCAGGCCTCTAATGTTTTTTTTTTCCCCCTTGATCTCTGCTTCATACTTTCTAATTTGTCTCCATCTTTCTTGAAGTGTGGTGCTCAAAGCTGGACACAGCACTCCAGGTGAGGCTTCATCAGTGCTGAATAGACTCGAAGAATCACTTCCTTTGATGTTCCTGTTAATACAGACCAGCATGTTGTTGGCTTTTTTTGTTTTGTTCTTTTTTTTTTTTTAAGAACAAAAGGGGTGGGGGCGCAATGGATACCATCAGGTTACGGTCGGTTGCAATGATCACATCTTTTTCTAGAATACTGCAGCCTAGCGTGTCATTCCTCAGTCTGCATTTCTGCATGTAGTTCCTTCATTCCAAGCGCAGGACTTTGCATTTGCCCGTGGTGAACTTTATTTTAATTATATTTTTATTCTCGAGTATTTTTCCAGTTCATCATGGTCATTTTGAATCTTAGCCTTATCCTCCAGAGTGTCTGAGTTGAATAAGATGGTCAGAGGTTCACTGTTGTTGTTCTGTCATTGTTGCATTGGTTTGTATAACTTCAGCTGCTTAGCCACCACTTTCTGTTTTAAACTGAATTTCTATATTCCTGATCTGATTCAAAGAGAGAGAAAAATTATAATACTACAAATTCTGGTTGATCACTTTATCATGCAACAATTAACTGTAGTAATTAGTAATATAATTATTATGCAGCTTAGTAAATTGTACAAGGGGCTTATTTTCCCAGGTCTTTAAACTTTTCCATGGGCACACGCAGAGATAACCGTAGCAGGGTGTGAAGTCTGGGGCAAATCAGCCTGTGCAGGGCCTGGACGTGGCGGCAGGGGTGGGGGGTGGCGGCAAGTGCCTGACGCAAAGCTGACCTGGGTCTGAGGGGCCCCCCAAAGCATGGGGCCTGGGGCAGTCACCCCAATTCCTCCCCTCCTCCCAGGGATGGCTCTGGGCACAGGAGGAAAGTTTGGGGTACTTACAGCTGAACTTTAGTGCGTTGTAGGCTTATTCCTTTTTGTAGTTCAGCAATTGTAATGATCTGGGTAAACAAAGCTTTAAGTGGGATGTGGTTTTGAGGCAGTTGGTGGTAGAGCTGCAGTACTGTTAATGTAGCAGAGATGGATATTTCCTTTGATTTAGAAGAGTTTTGATATTTTGTCAAACTAAGGAGTAAAAACTTACAGTTCTCCCTAATAGGATCTTCATCTGATAGGATATTAGATAACGATTGATCAGGGTATTTCAATATTATGAATAGCTTTTGTTTTCTGCAGGTAGCAAAATATATTACCCTGTTACAGGATTGCGATAGAGGATACCCTTGCCATTCGCAGGGGATACGTTCTCGCGAATAAGGCACTACGTTCATGAATGTCGTCTGCATTCATGAACGCAGTGCCCCCGGCGGCTGGAGGGGGGAGGGCACGGTGGCGGCGGTGGGAGTGCAGCGGCAGCAAGTGTATTTAAGATGCAGGTTCGGCATTCATGAGTATTTGAAACCACAAATGCCAAACCCGTGAATAGTGAGGGTTTCCTGTATTTAGCAGAGGAAATCTGTCATAGTAAGCTGAAGTGATTTGTATGCGTGTTTCCAAGCTGGGGACAAGTTTCTAAATCTCTAACACACAGGAGATAAAAGTCCATTTCAGATGATGGATGTACAGGTGGCTTATGCACTTTAACAAAACAATAATTAGAGAAGAGTCTGCATCGGAACTCAAATAGTGGAATAATTTGGTTAGTACTAATAAAAGTGCAAAGCGTTTTTGAAAGTGCCTCTTTTCTTGCTACGTATTTTTAAAAACACATAATTGTATTACAGTTGCATATTATACAAGTTAATTAATTGCATATTATACAGTTTATTAAATTGTATAATATGTAGAATAAAGGTTAAAATATTTCCTCTATAGTCCAGATGTTTCAAATTTGCACATACATTTAAATAATTTGATATGCTAATTTATTACCCTGTACCAAATAGCCATTTATACACTGAACTTGGAAAAAATGTTTGCACAAATGACTTCATGCAGATATTTAAGGCAGCCAGATTAGGGGAGGCAGTTGAATATGAGTGTTTCTGAAAACCAGGTCCTGTGCATTTGTTCTGGCTTGCTTGTTAACCTGAACTGTAAACATGGAACTGTATTTTGATCTAGATCTTTTGGTGATCAGCATGCTTTATAAGTAACCCCTTTGCTCTCTGCCACTTCTTGATTTAAAAAAAAAAAATCTGCTCAAGTCGTCATAACAGACTTCATTGTTTTTATTGTTATTTTGTATATTCCAAGTTCCTTGGGCTCCAGTACAGAAATATTTTCTAGATGAGTGGATTCCTGCATGCCACTAGAGCCTACTTTTGGGCTGTCACAAAAACCAGCGTGCAGGTGTTTACCAGTCCTCTGTTTAGTGTTTGCCTGAAGCTTAATAAGATGCTGTTAATGTTTTAGAATAGGGCTGTTCATCTTGCAGCCTGTGGTTGGTATGCAGACTGCAAGGGGCTGTGTTTTAGCCCCTGAGTTCCTGCCTAACCAAATGCATTGGGGTGGTGGGGAGGGCAGAAGGAGGTGGGTAGTGATATTACTATAGAGGAGTGATGGGGGAAGTGGGTGCACACTTTAGTTCTGCAATGGGAGATGGGGAGGGAGAGGAGGCATACATGCGGCGTGCAGGAGGGCTCATGACTTGCCTTGGTGTAGCCCATGGGCTGTGTGGCTCCTGCTGGTATGGTCCAGGGGGCATTCACCCCCAACTGCTTAGCAGTTGGACAACCCTATTTTAGAAGGTAGAGGATACATTTACAATGCAATGCCCTAGCAGCATGACTGCCATTAGCATTTGTCAGTTTAAGTTAGCCTCTCAATGATGATGATTTTTTAATGATAATTTAGAAAATATTCAAAGCAGAAAAATGTATTCTGTAGTCATTTAAAGGCAATTTTCTGTTGACATTAAGATGCTGCTGTAAAGTCAATAAATAGCTGAGACCTCCTCCATCCTCTTTCCCTAATATGAAAAGTAATTTAAATAAGCACTCTGCATTGTTGCACTTCAGCAGCTTTTTCTCTCTTTCCACACCCATCCAGCAGATTTAATATCCACATTAATTCCAGGTAACAATGAATTTGATGGCTTCATCTAATGCTGGTGTCAATGCACATATATTTTTGTCATAATTGCCAAAGGAGAGAGTTTCTGTTCACACACCTGTAGGTTATTCTTCTTCCATTGCTTCTGCATCAGGTCTGTCATTCAGCGTGATCAGCAATGTTATTGTAAACATACAGTTTTTATACTTAGAGCTTTATCAGCATTTATGGCACATTATGAAAAGTAGCCACCTCACAGCAGATGATCTCTTCTCAAACGTTAGTAAATGCTGTCTGCAGGAAAATCTTAGTCATGCCAGTTTGCCTGAAACGGCCACTGACACCAGGACAAAAAAATCTAGATAAGATACGCTGCTTGGTTATATGCATTAATAGAAAAAGTCCTTCTGAGTTTACCATGTAAATGCAGCCAAAGCCTTCCTCTCATTCCTTTATCCCTGCAAGCTTCTTGATACCAGAAAAGACACTTAGATGTGAAAACTTAAATAAAAAGCAAGAAAGTCTTGAGAATTAGAAGGCTGAATCCTTTCACTTCACTCCAGCTGCTGAGCTCATTATGTGACCTATCTTTACACAGGCTAATTTCTGCCCATGACCAAATAACCAGAAGCTACTGTGGGATTACGAGAAACACTTGTAGACAAAGCAGACTTATTGTGGAGATCACAATTGCATCATTTTAAAAGCAAAAATATTTCCCAAATTACAAATGTTTATTTTAAAGTAATCAGTGTTGAGGAAGGTGATTTCACATGGTATATGCATGCACTGTTAGCTAGTGCTTTAATGCAGCGAATCATCCTTTTGGCCATGGCAGATGATCTTTTTCTCAATATCCATTATCTTTGCTGACATTAAGCTATCCTGAACAGTTCCTTTGGAAGGTTTAGTGGTTATTTCTTGAGCCAGCATTCTCATTCATTTAAAGTCACACTTGATTCTTTTTGTGACTTCTTTTCTTTTTGTCTACAGGGGGAATTTACTCAGATAAAAGTGTTTTCTAGTCTGTCACCTATCCCTGGATTCACCAAGTGGCTTATTGGACTTCTTTCTTCACAAACAAAGGAACTGGGAAGAAATGAACTGTTTACGGATTCAGAGTGTCAAGAAATCTCTGAGATCGCAGGAGGTCCTGCGGTTGAAACTCTAAAGAGGCTCTTAACTAACAATGAATGGGTGAGATCCGAAAGACTGGTCCAAGTATTGCAGTTGCCTTTTATGAGGCTCTGTGCTTGGTACCTGTATGGAGAGAAGCATCGTGGTTATGCTCTTAATCCGGTAGCAAACTTTCATCTACAGAATGGAGCGGTGATGTGGCGGATAAACTGGATGGCAGACACAAGCCCCCGGGGTGTTACTGCCTCCTGTGGCATGATGGTGAATTACCGATACTTCTTAGAGGATACAGTCAGTAACAGTGCAGAGTATCTCTGGACAAAGCGCATAAAAGCCTCAGAGCAGGTACTTTCCTTGGTGTCACACTTTCATCAACATAGCAAACTTTAAAAGATTTTAAGAGCAAACGCTTCTGTTTTGAATAAAGAGAATGTCTTGTGGCGTCTGGAGAAATGAGAATACTTCTGATGAAATGAGCTGCGTTCTCTAGTCATCGTAGGGTGCAAATTACATCGATTGTCAATTGTTGTAAGTTCCTTTGCTTGCACTGCCAGATGTGCTGTGGTTGAATCACTGCCATATTTTTATGTTCAAATGAACCAGAAGAGTGTAAAATGAGTGAGTAAACTCCTCTCAGTAAGGTTACAAGTCAGCAATGAATGACTTGTGGGGACTGTTCTCTGCCTCTGTCATAGCCACTGCAATCAATATAGTTGTTTTTAAACTGCATCTTCAAAAGCATTGATGAACTCTGCTGCTGTCTGATATTACAGCTGTAGGGAAATCAATACCAAAGTAACTAGATAAAAGTACTAGGTGGAGACCATTTTTTGTTCAAACAAGTTATTAAAACAGCAGCATGTAACATTTCCTCAGTTAGATTGTCCCCCTTGCCCCAACTCTTTTCTGTAGAAGCCTGTTGATCCGAGCTATCCCTTTTCTTTTGCAACCCTGCATAAAATACATTGAGCCTTTGCTGTTACCACTTTTTCCTTTGTGGTTCACTGTCCAGCACACTCAAGACAGTAGGGGTATGTAACAATATGCTTGTAGTTTCTTCTCTTTCAGATTTACATCTTAATATGGAAGAGTAAAGGGTTCCAAGTAAGAAAAAAGGTGGTTGCTTATGGTTTAATTTTGAATGTTTCTAATATATTTATAATAAACATCATATGATATTGTGATTGTGTGTGGTGTTTTTAAGTTAGAGTTTATTATAACAACCTAGATTTTGTTGTAAAGAAAATAATTACCTCTCATCCTATAAATGTTTTGTATTTCTTTCGAAACGTAACATACAAATAACTATTCTTTGATGTTACTGTCTTCAGTGAAATAAGACCGATGTCTTAAATGGATCCTGATACTGGCAGGTTTAGAGCACGAAACACCTGCTTGCTTTCATAAGTTCCAGATCCTGCCACTGGGAGAAGACTTACAGAAATCTTTGTAGAGTTTCTTCTTTCCTATCCATGTGTTTGTGAAGGGAGCCCTAAGTGTCCAATTCTCCTTTCTACTGGAGCAAGATGGTACAAGTGAACTTTTGTTTGTCCGTGATAAGAAATCGTTCCAACCCTCTGAGTTGGTAACCTATTTTAAATATCTGCTAAATGGAGAAACTGTTACCTTGGCTTTTGCTAATGGCATTTCTCAACACGATAAAGCAGAGAGATTGGATTCAGTATACATTATTCCCCTCAGAACAGAGCCACTTTTAGAGAGCAGCTGGTCCTCACATTAGCAATGGCAGCTAGCCTATGCCATGCTGCTTTCATTATGTTTTTAAGGGTCGTTCCAAAAAAACAGCAGTCGGCAGGTATCTTGTATGTTGTTAGTTCTTGATCAGCTATCATTTTAAGACACTCCTTGCAGGGGGAGAACCACAGGAAAATTGTTCTGCCAAACTCATGAAGGAAAAATTAAGTGTCCCTTTGCTCAGCTTGAATTGTAATTTGTGTGTGTATGCCAGAGGGTATGTGCCAAAAAGATAGCTTTTTCTCTGCCACTTAGTAACTTGAACTGTTGAACACGAGCCAGGAAACACTGTAAAGTTCACGAAGAGATGTTGTAAGTTCTTTCATTGTCTTCTGCTTATTCCCGGTTGTGGAATTTCAATCCTTTGTGAACAAGTACTCAGACCTTTTGAATCATTTATTGAACAGTAATGTCAGATCCTGTTATTGGTCAGTGGTGGGGCAAGCACTTGCCCATTGACCAAGCTGGTTGACAATGTAGCGTAAATGTCATTGCTAACAGGGCAAGAAAATAGTTATTAAACTGCAAAACTATTTTTTTCTACTGGGGTTAGGAGTGCAGCAAAATGTTAAAACACCTGGGAGAGACCCAGCAGATGTTGCCAAGTCCTGGCTTAGCACTGATTTTGGAATTGAGCGGTAGTTGGTGTTCACTGAGTTGGATGAGGGGTCAATGAGGCATGCAGAGGATATGTACTTTCCAACAGACATTGGTGACTAAAGGCTCTGAATGTAGACTTCATCTGCACCTCAAGGGTCCTATATGAACAAAGCATATCAAACCAGTTACAAAGTAAGTAACCTGCCTCTTTTTTGCCCTTCCTCTGTCTATTTTCTCCTCCCTTCACCTCAGATTATTAGTGTTTACTGAGAATAATTGTAGCAGCTGGATGTTTAGCATTTCTGAAGATCTAGCTGCTTATTTATACAGCTAAATCAAAAAACTTGAATGCTGTTCCCTTTGGAAAAAGTCACCCCTGTTTAAATCTGCAGGAGTTGAGGGTCTTTAGTACCTTACAGAACTGGGCTCTAGGACTTGATCCTTCTGTTACGGGAACTCCAATGATGTACCATTTAAACTTGGTTTCAATATGATATGTTCATACTATTATGATTTACGTTGACAGTACACATCTTTCTCGATTTACCTTTTTTTTTACCATGCAGGGTTAACACTGTGTCCATTCTGGTCAGTTCAACATGTAAAATGGCTGCGGATGTCTCCTGGAATCTGAACATCTGAGGTGGAGGACATACATCATTTAATATGCGTATATGTGTATATAGTGTAGGGTGTGTGTGATTTATATATTTTTAAACATTATACAAGTGTTCACGAGTCAGTGTTGCCTAATGAGATGTTACCCAGGTTTCAGGACTCCAGATCTCTGTTAAAAACCTGCTAAATTAATTCAGTTTTTTCTTACATTGGAATGGCATCTGTTAGCATTGCCAAAATGAATGGTCCATTTTAATTTCTGTTTCCCAAACCCACTTTTTACAAAGGTTTCAACATTACTTTTTATTACTATAATCTTTCTATACCTTCATGTTCCTGTTCTCGGTCTGAAACAGATGATTTATTTTTGGGGTGGATGGGGGTGGGGGAGAAGTGATTAATTAGTCCCATTTTATTTTTAACCAAGAAGCATTAAAGGGCTTAAATATGCTGCTTTTCCTCAGGAAAAATAAGTCTAAAGTTTTGCAAGAACTTTAGGTTGGTGAGGAACTTGCTTTCAGTTACAGTTTTTATAAAGAATTGCATCATGGCACAAGCTATTTTCTTACTAGGAGGAAAAAGAGATCTCCCTCTGTAAATAGGTGCACAGTGGAAGTGTTTGGGAAACGCTGATCTTGCTTCTATGCCCGGCTATACAGTAATATGAACAAAAGAACATTTTAAATAAAGAGTTGACTTTCAGTGGGAACTTGAACTTGCCCAGCACTTTGCCAGTGCTTGTACCAGCAGTTGCAGTGGATAGATGTCAATGCCTGAATGATGGACTTAATTACCTGCTCACGTGATTGTTAGTGGTGGGAAAGAGTGAGAGAAAGGGTCTACCACTTCGTGTTTGCCAGTCAAAATAAAAAATGAGGCATTAAAGTTATAGCAAATGTGTGATGGGTGTGTGAGAGAGTGACATCATTAAATGGTATTTTTTTCTAGGCATTCTTCGGGGTGAATGTATATATGTAACATCTGTGTTTGGTGCCAGACTTTTAATGGCTATGGTCAAAAATGTATGTGGAATCATTAGGGATGAGGAGGGGGAAGTTTTACAATAGTTTATTGTAGAGCCACGCTGCTTCTTTTTCCATGGTCAGAAACAGAGAGAGAGCGTGTGTGTTAGGAGGTACAATTTCTTGTACAAAGTAGGTTGGGTTTTCAGGTGAAAATCAATTTTTATATATGAATGAATACAGCTGTTTGGAAGGAAAAAGCTGTTATCTTTGTTAAAATACTTCAGGCTTGTAGAAAATCATTTTGCTTTCAATAAGATCCTTCCACTAAAGGAAGGAATAATTCTAAGGTCTGTGACAGGTCTCTTAGTATGGATTCTCTCACCTGGCCAGATTTTAAGCATATCCAATATGTATTCATAATAAAGGTAATACAGCTTTAAGGATTCTGCAGCTTCTACAGTTGGACACGTGGCATCTGTGGCAGGACAGTATGGGGCACTAATATGCTGAGCCACCCACCTCACTGTGCCACACCCAAATCCACACTTTGGGAGTCTTCCTTGGGGAGCCTACATTCAGCCATCCCCCTTCCTCAAAACCTCCCGCAAGCCTGAGGTAACGCTGCCACCACCTGGGCACTGATCTCTGTTAGGGCCCTGTGCAGCCCGGGGTACACAGACCCTGGAAGCCTTGGGGGTGCTTTGCCCACAGCGGTATTTTGGGGTGCTTCTTTCACCCTGAAGCATCCAAAGGTAGCTTCCTATACCAGCGGAAAGTAAATAGCCAAGCCCACCTTAGCCAGCCGAGCAAAGGGAGCGAAAAATGCCGGTCTCTCCCCAACACAGACAACCAGGTAGTCATGCTGAGCCAGGTAGCTCTTTATTGATCAGGGGGATCAATAAAGAGTGTGGGGAAGGGGGTATAATAATGGCAGTTAAGAGAGAGCACGTTGAGCAATCAAAATACGTTGAGTCTAAAAACACCTGGGCTCAATGGCCTTTTTAATACATGTCTAAATTACTCAGTTCTATCTACTACCTAATTTTCAAGCATACTCACTGGTTCATCCAGAGAGACTCACTCTGGAGGTTCAGGGTTTGTGTCTGTTCCAAAAAGCCTGCCAGAGGAAGAGGGAGTGACCTCCCAGACCCGGTGGCCTTCATCGTTCCCTATAAGCTGCGCGGAGTGTGCCACTGCCAGGTGCGCCTGTGTGGCTGCACATGCTACACATCTCAGAGGGAATGCTGGTGGCCTGACCCTTAAATAACTTTTCTGACCTCATCACCTGGACCCAACCAGAAACAGGCATTATTTGAACTCTGCTAATGCAGACCAGTCACTTCAGAAGGGGTTAGTAACCCCTGGTGAAGGGGCTTGCGTCACCAAACTGGTTCTGCAGGTTTCCTTGGAGGGAAGCGTAAGTCAAAGGGTCTGGCCACCAAAAGGGGGGATGGGAGGGAGGTCCTCTCCAGCCCCAGAGGAAGCAAGCAAGCAAGCTCCCCTCCCCTCAGGATCTTTATACAGGCTGAACTAATAGCACCACAGTTTGAAAGAGGAGGGGTGAGTGGGCTGTCCCAAGGCAGGGCAGGGAGAGAGATTTCTTCACAGCATCAAGCTTGCTTTGGTTATAGACCCAAGTGAACATGAAGTGAGATTAGAAGTAAGACAATATTCTAGAGTAAACTAATAGGCCTTTTCCAAACTCTAGTTCTTATTGTTAGAGCTCTTCTTCCTAGCATCCCAGCTGGACTTGTCCTGTTCTTCTGTGCTCTGGAACTAACTCCCTGCACTTGGATCAGTTTTCCTGCTTTCCAGGAGGGCAGGAGCTGTTCTTCACCATATGCTTATTTTGCTTCCCCTTGGTACTAGATGTATCAGTTTTCTAAAGCATTGACAGGGGACTGAGGCTGCACACATTCCGCTGATCTGGGAGGATTGTTTCAAGTTTGTTCTCCTGGTAGAAAAACTTAACCACAGATGCTGGAACAGACATTTGGATGATGTGCCCCTAAAAAGCAGAGAGCTTGTAGTGCTGACTGCATAGCTCCGGGGGGGCGGGGTGCTATACACACATCTCAGTGTACTTTGCAAGCTTCCTGGAGACAGATGGCAGTGGTGCACAGGCCAGCCCTGATTGACTGACCCGGACTGCTCAGGATCGCCCTGCGTCTCTGCAGTACAACATGGGGATTGAAGGGATTGTATTCTGCTCCCTGCTTTGCTGAAGCTGTAGAGTCCAGCAAGAG